GTTCTCATTCCGATGTATGCTCAACTCTTGTACCGTTATAAGTGTACCACAAAACCAACCAATCACAGACCTGGATGCAAAAACTCTGATTGGCTGTTACAGTTACAGTCTAATATACTGACGATTTGATAAGTCCTGAGGCCTTCCTCAGTAACGCAAAAGGTAACCTTCCGCGTTCCCGCTTTCAGTATGAGACATGGCGGGTTTTGGATGGAATCCAATAGATTGACGCTCCCGGTGGTAACACATGTTCCAGCCCTGTATTACAGCCCTAATCCTAACCTTAATCCCAATCAACCATAACCTTATGCCTAACCTTAACCGCCTTTTTAATTGTGTTAGTGTTTTCCAAAGCAATTACAGTAAAACAAAAGTACATGTGTACATTCAGTCCAAACAGTTCTCATGTCTGGATAGTCATGTTTGGAGAGTTGTAATAAAATTGACCAAATTTCTTGTAATGACAGCTGGTCCATCTAAAGTGTAATGGATGCATTCTCTCCTAACAGAAAGTGTCCCAACTATCTTTAAAGTCTTTTTGGGACACCACTCAGACAGCCAGATATTTAAGAAGAAGAGAAATGAGAACATTTAGCAAAACATGTCACTCCTGGTCTGATTGGGGAGGAACCAGAGAAAACTCCAACATTGTTTTGGCAAAGTTACACATCTATTCAATATTAATTTTTGTGACCTCAAATTCCCCACAGCAGAGTGGGGAAAAACGCCCCCTCCTACTGTCACCCAGCAATCCTGCTTTTCCAGCTTCTCAGCACAACCTCCCAGGGGACTACGCTACCTTTGATACACTGACTACAGGAACCTGGCTAGCTACGAGTTTTTCAAGGGTACAGTGCTGGGTCTCCAATTCAGTGATCCTGGCCTCCAGAGTTATAGAACAGGCAAATTCATTTATTAAAATAATACTATTATTTTAAGTGTCATTATTACTAAATGTTGCATGTTGAGAAGAAAATTATTTTGACCAAACAAAATTCATTGCTGCATGAAAGAAATGTCTTTGAGTGTTTGCTATTATCCATATACTGTCACAATACTGGGTAGTGTGACACAGTGTTTGAGTTTGAGTGTGTCGCTCTCGCTCTTGTATTTCGTTCCTTATTTAGGCCATGTTTCCTAAGTTGTCCTGTTGTGTTG